CTAACTGTATTTCCAGTACCTGGGACAGCAGTTGTTATGTAGCAGGTATTCAATGAATATGTTTTGCAGGGAATTAGAAAAAAAAACACAAACAAAAACAAAACAAAAACCAAGACACACTTCCATATTCCCAAAGATCTAGAGACAAAAGAGAAGATGTAGGTCATATTTAAGGTGTAACAGCCTCAGGGTTAAAAATTAGCACAATCTCTCCACTCTTCAGTAGCCAGTCAATCCATAAGACATTTACTTAAGGAGTGAGTGGGTTTCCTCCTTTCCAGTCTGGAGAAAAGAAAAGAAAAAGTACTCGCAGAGAACACTAAACACACTCTCACACACACACGCACACACACATCTAAAAAAGAAATTTCAACCCCAATATATGCAGAGGTGTGTCCAGGCCAGAATCAGCCTTTAGATAAGAGAAATGTTAAATACAGCATTCTTGTCAAAACTGGACACTAGCTTCCAACTTGTCCCACTCCCATATGCTCTCAAGAGGAGCCTTAGCATCTGTATGCTAATTACAGACACGGTGGCCAGCGCTAGGCACAGCAAATCTGACTTAGTCGCTTGCCTGGAGGAAACATTGTCCAACATTCTTAGCTTGTAAATGACACTACTGCTTGGGCTGCCCCCTCCCCAGCCCTTTCCAGCCCCACCCTGCTCACAAACCACTGCCCCCTCCTCCTTCTACTCAGGTCAGAGCCAAACTAGCTGCCTGGTTTAGTAATAAGATTGAGGGAAGACTCAGAAGGCCCCCTGGGCTCCATTACTACGCACGCCCTACAAGAAGGGCCACCTCCAGGGACTGTTGCTGCTGATCTGAGCTCCACTTGCTGCCAGGAAACCTTTCCCATTGAGGACACCCTGAGCAGGCAGCGCAGCAGCCCCAGGTCCAGGGGGAGGCACCCCACCCATCTGCCAGAGAGACAAAGATCACCAGAAACAAAGGACACACACAGACCGGCACACACACAAAGTCAAAGCAAATACCGACACTTGGTGCAATTTCAAGCCAAACAGCCAGCTTGATGTATCTTTAAATAGATTTTGCAACAATCCAGGAGGGACAATGACTCTATGATAATGACAGGCACTATCTGGGTTTGGAACCCACGCTGCCTCCACCCTCCTCCCACCCTTACTGCTGTTCCCAGGCGCATTTTTCTGCCTCAGGACACACGCTGCCAGGAGCAAGAGTGCTTCCACTCGCGGAGGCGCGCACACGCCCGGAGGTGGAGGCAGGGCGAGGGCGGCCAAAAGTAGGAGATACCAACCTTTAGGATCCCAGTTAACCTGTTTTCTTGGAGTCTCGATTGGAAATTTCATTGCTCCGTTGCCCAGATGGGGAGGAAAGGGAAAGAATCAAAATGATAAAGTCCTCAAGCTTTCAACACCTCGGCACAGCAGTCCAACAAAAACAATTTCCAAGGATGGGGGAGCCCTGGACCGGCTCACGGAGGAACCCCAGAGAAAGACAAATGGAAAATAGTGGCTTAGGAGAGAACTGGAGGCGGCTGGGATGTTTGCACCGGTTGAGGGGTGCCGGGGAGCAACCCCCTGGGTACAAAGAAAAGTGAGGTCCGCGAGGGGAGGATGGAGGAGGCTCGGGAAGATGAAAACGCCGAGCTTCGCAAGCGCGTGCGGGCAGGTCGGGGCTGAGCCGCTGGAGGGCTGCGGAGGGAGAAGCCCACTGCAGTGTCACTCCAGCCCCCAAGGCGTGTGCACACACTCCGCACACACACTGGCCCGGCGCTCGCTCCGGCGGCGGGCACGTCAGCCTGGTTCGGTGGTGCAGAGCGCACGCCCCACCCCACCAGTGGCTCCTCGCCTGCAGGCGACGCCCCCCACTCTCCACCCCCGAAAAGCCATTGGACAGAGGGGTGGCGCGGCGCGCAGGGAGCTCGCAGCGAGGGCGGGCGACCCTCCCCGCTTGCGCTTTGCTCTGCAGAAGCCACGCCAAGACCGGAGAGATCGCGGCGGGTGGAGATGCCTGGCCAGGGCTCTGCCCCCGGGGCCTGGCCTGAGGCAGCGGCAGCTGCGGACTTGCCCCGCCGGGTGCGTGCGGGTCGGGCTGCGGGAAGCTGCGGGTTCGGAAGCCGCGGTGGGGCGGGTGCAGGCGGCGGGCGCACAGCTACTTACTGGTTCCGCGGGCGGGCGGGCGTGGAGGCAGCCGCGGCTCTTGGTGGAGTTGCCGCCGGAGACACGCTTGGCTGCCTGGAAGGCGCTGCAGGAGGTGGAAGGAGAGCCGAGGTGGCCCTGCCGCAGACCTGTGCTTCAGGGGTCACCTCTTGTCACCGCTCCCACCCTGGTCGCACCCCGCTTCTTTTCTCACTTCATTTTTCACTCCGGTGTCCTCCCGCAGGTGCTCCCGCCTGCGCCCCGAACCCACATCCCCGGCGCGCTCGGAGGACGCAGGTGCCAGCCATGAGCCTTTTGTTCTGGGACCGTTCAGCATCCGCTCTGCTCTCCCGCCCGGGGAAGGGGGAAGTTTGCTCCCCAGGCACAGCCCCGGTTCTTCTCCTGCTACCTGCGGGCGGCTGAGGCCACTGGTTGGAGGCCGGGGAAGAGGGTGGAGAGAGACGCGGCGGCCCCAGAGGAAAGCAGAGTTGCCAAGACCTGGCAACTCCTGGAAGCGGGGGCCCCAGGAGTCCCAGGGCCCAGTGGGTACAGGTGCGCGGGGCTCCAGACACGTTCAGCCCTCCCCCTCCCCCGCTTCCGCCTGAAACTACACAAGAGCTTGTGGTGGGACCTCAGTCTCCAAGAGAACCTAGTGGGCTGAGATGGTCCTGAATGGGACACTGGACGTACCAATCTGGACAACGTTTAGAAATGACTCTGGGTGCCCAGCACGGGAGCCGTGCACTAGTCCATGCTGGAGAAATACTTGCTAAAGGAAGGCATGAATTGCATACAGCGTGTTGGAGAGGAAGTACTTTAAGTTACTGTCCGTTCACTGTCCATGCCACGCATATCTTGAACCCCTTCGATGTGCCATCATTGCACTAGGTGCTGATGATACGGCAAAGCACAAGATAGGCATGGACCTTGCTGTCTATGCCATGAGGTGGGGTCCAGCCGTGGGCAAACTATGGCCCGTGGGCTGGATCCGGCCCGTTTGAAATGAATAAAACTAAAAAAAGAAAAAAGACCGTACCCTTTTATGTAATGATGTTTACTTTGACTTTCTATTAGTTCACACAAACACTCCATCCATGCTTTTGTTCCGGCCCTCCGGTCCAGTTTAAGAACCCATTGTGGCCCTCGAGTCAAAAAGTTTGCCCACCCCTGGGTTAGATGGTCACTGCCTTCACTTTAAGTAGGAGAACGTGACTTCCTGCCTGCCAGCCAGGGCCCTAAACACTCTGCGGAGTTTTGCTCTCTGAACTGCTTGAGGCTTCTGAGGAGCCTTGTGTCAGCAGCATCCTTTTCTTCATCGATTCTCCACAGTCACATCCAGGCTCTGAGTTCCAGGGCAAGATCCACAGAGGGCCACTGTCATCCGTGGCAGGGGTTGGTAAGTGCTTGGTCACTGACCCTTCAGGCCGCCACGGCTGGAGCCAGAGTTCTCTGCAAACCTTGTTCAGAAAAAACTGGTACCCATCTGACAGTGCCACCCGAGTGAGCGCACAGGTCCTCGGGCAGGTTCCCCGGGCTCGTCAGAGCCAGCTTCTCTGGGACTGTTCCCGCACTTTGCTTCCTTCCACTAGAAGGCTTGAGAGGATGGATGAGATGGAAATGAGACAAGCAAGGAATTTCTGCTTCTCCCGCCGCCATGCCACCAGTGACATCAGTATGCATGTGGATCCTGCTCCCAAGCCCAAAGGGAACAGCTGGTGAGTTCCCGGGGAAGCCTGCAGAGCCTCCCTCTGCCCTCTCAAGTGCTCACGGCCAGGAGGGCTCCAGGCCAGTCACCACAGTGCCATGTTCCCCCCTGCATCCGAGTCAGAGAGGTGTCCACAGAGAAAGATACCCTCTCGCCTGAATCCCCTGAGGACGGGATGTCAAACTAACATTTATCAAATGCATCCCTGACCTCCTCACACTTCTCTCCATCCAGCTTCCCTACATCTTTCCTCTGAGGTGAGATCAGAGCACAGAAAGATAAAACAAAACAAAAAAAACACAACCCCTTCCCCCCCCCAAAAAAAAAACCACACACCCCAAACACTCCCAAGGTCACAACACAGAGATTCAAACCTAAGTGAGCTCATCTGGTCCCAGCCCCTCCATTGCAAAATGAGTTGGACTAACCTCGTGCCCTGGGGTCTACATCAGGGAATTAGTTCACCGTCCAAGGCAAATTCCTGAGGCACAATATACAGCCTTAGGGTGCATCATTCAGCCAATCAAAGAACAAATAGGGAGCATCCCCAGTGTACAAGATAGTTTGCAGTTTTTCTTAAAAGTTATATTGGGGCCTGGAGAGCCTTCCCCAGAAAAGCATCAGCAGGACGATGGAAGGACTGTTTGGAGGCTGGGAGGGTTGGGACCGACCCACGGGGGTGAGGGAGCAGGAGCAGGACCAGGGCTGCGGAGTCCTCTTGCTGTTAAAGACGTGCACTAGTCTTTGGCCCTTATGATCATCTCTCTGCTAAATCACTCAGTGCCTCCCCACCATCACCCCCACCACCCTCACCACAACTACCACCACCACCACCACCAAGAACAACCTCTGGGGCTTTTTTTCATCTCTGCTTTCATTCTGCTTTCTCAGAGGGTGTGTGTGTGTGTGGGGGGGGGGCAAGTTCAGCAAAAATTAACCAATTAATTAATTAACCCCAGCACCCCCTCCCCTAACTGGCCTAAATCAAGTCCAACTCCTAACCTGCTTAGTATTTGGAATGGACAGCTGAGGAGGGGGGGGTGTAAGGGATAAGCCCCCCCCCCCAGCCCCAAGTAAAACAACTTAGCACATTAACCCTTTGCGCTACTGCCATGCCCTCCCATCAGCTTCCATTCTCTGCCTTCGTTATTGCAAACTGGATCCCACTTACCCCAGACAGGAGGGAAGAAGGGGTCTGTGAGGAGGAAAAGCATCCAGAAGAGATGCCGCGCCAAGCGGTTCCCTCTCGCTCTGCGCCGCCCCAACTTCCATGGCTATTGCTGCCGGCTGCGGGCCGGTGGGAAGCGGCCGCCTCGGGCTCCTGCGGCAGGACCACAAAGCATCGTGATGCCAAGTGGCTCAGCTTCCCGCCTGCGGGCAGCGGCCTCCCCTTCGCTTTGGGGGGACGCAGGCCCTGGCCGGGAGGCGTGGCTGCAGGTCCCCGGGTCTCCGCAGCTCAGAACCTGCAATCCTGGCGGCACCACTTCAATGAGCGCCCGGTGGCCCAGTCATCTCCCCAGGAAGTTTTCCGCGAGTTGGCTCCTATACTTCCTCCCCACTGCGCAACCCCGGACCCCTGTGAGAGCGGAGGGAGCTGACTGCTTCCTGTGGGGTCTCGGAGTGGCTGCCCAGGCACCGCTCAATCTGAGGACTGCTGAACGCGGATCGCGGGGTGCAGCAGGAAAGAGTCCTTGCTGAACAGGGATTCCGGGGCGCAGCAGGAGAAGAGTCCGGACAGGGAGAGATGAAGCAGCTTGGGGAATCTTGCTTAGTGCTGGTTCTACAAACGGAAGGAGAAGGGGAACAGATCTGATTAGAATCAACTTTAATTCACGAATATCAGGATGCATTCATTCATCTGCCTTGGGTTGTTTCCCCTGGAGGTCCAGAAGAAACCCCAATCTTCCAAGATCTCCCCCATTCCCAAGACACCTCCCAGCCCTCTTCCCAAAAAGAACCACGTCATTTTGTGAAGAGAAACCCATACAAACCCCGGGTAGAGTCACTGGCATAAAACTGATGGGGCCATTCTGCACGAAAGTGAACTCGAACTTCTTCTACCAGAAATGTTTTATTTCCCTAGTGAAGTTGCCACTGTGTTCTCAGCATTTAAGCTGCGAACATTTATCTCCGTGTCCCAACCAGATCTGCAGAAGCACATCCTTAAATATATGTTGCTCTAATCTTGGGCTCTGCTGTTTTGGGAAAGGCTAGAGGCATAGGGGCAGCTACAGGGCAGAGGGTGTGACCCCCTGTGTATAAATCCTGCAGCTTTATTGCCTTGACTCAGACCTCTGATTGGGGGTTAATGAGGACAACATACTCTGAAGTCCAAAGAAGTTGTAATTAGAACATCGGGTTGATGAACGTGTTTCATAACCAGGAACCATATCCTCTCCCTCTGTGAGTTTCTTTGTTTTAAATTTTAGCCCTTGAGAAAATATAATTTATGCACCCATAAAGCATTGTGCCAAGCATTTAACCAAAATGTGCAGAGTTCCTTATAAAAAAGTTTTAAGGTGATTCCCTCTCTCCGAGTTATTAGCAAAACATAATCCCAGGTAAAAAAAAAATTTTGAGAGCTGGAGCTGGAATTGTTTTGGTTTTCCCCTCAATTTTTTTATTTTGAAAAAATTTCAAACACGCAAGAATGTTATGTTCACTTAGTAAAAAAACAGGATCCAACCAAAGGTTGAATCTGTTCTATATATTTAGTGTATTTTAGCCTAGAAAATTTCCTCAGTCTTTTTTTGTTTGTTTGTTAATCCTCACTAGAGGATTTTTCCCCCTTTCCATTGCTTTTCAGAGAGAGTGGAAGGAAGAAGGGAGAGAGGGAGGGGGACAGAGAAAGAAAAATTGAAGTGAGAGAGACACATCAACTGGTTGCCTCCCACATGTGCCCTGACGGGGGTGGGGAGCAAACCCACAAGCCAGGAACGTACCCTTGCAAGGGAGTCAAACCTAAGACAGAGAGAGGGGAGAAACACATCAATTGGATGCCTCCCAAACACACCGAGATCTTGGGCAAATTTTTAACCCAGGTATGTGCCCTTCACCGGGATGAACCGTTACCTTTAGTGCATGCCAACACTCTAACCACTGGAGCACACCGGCCAGGGCCTCGCTCTTTTTATTTTTTAATGATATTGATTTTTTTTAAGAGTCCAAATTCATTTGCTGTCTGCTAATGTTTAATGTCATGATGTAGTTAAAGATCAGTTGAGTCAAAGATTGGGAAAACACATGATTTCCTGACCATAGCAGGACATTAAAATAACTCAAGGCCTTCTATAAATGTGTGCATGCCAGTATCCATGAAACAGAAAGTAGTTAGTGGTATTCCTGCTCATTCAAGCTTCTCCCCGGAATTAGCCCAGCCTTAGTCAGAGTAGTTACCTTTGTTTCTTATTCATCAAACGGCCCTGCTTCAGGGATGGGAGAGCATTTTCACACATACACATCAAGTTGACAGGGACATATGGTATTTTACTGAATTTAAAAACAAGAATTCAGCAAGGTTACACACCATAATGAGTGAGCTCTGATTTTCATGTCATTCTAGGAAGGTTTTAATTTGAACCAAAATTTTAAGGCTTGTAGAAGGCATTCATGTTTTCAACCACCTATTTATTTATGAGCAACCCTTAGTCCCAGACTCTTCTGGCAAAGAGTAGAGAATCCTTTTGAAGGCACCTACTATCCTGTCATATTGACAAATGCTCCTCCCAGTCAGCCAATGAAAGACTTGGGATAGTCTGACCAATGGAAGAGGTTTTGTTCAGGAAGAGGTGGGACATAATCTCAGTGTCCAATGGGAATGTTTGAAATAAATTAATTTCATTTTTGCTGCTTTTGAAGCAAATATGTGTTTGGTTGAAAATGATTGGACCAAGTGTAACATTACAGCTTCCTTTCCTACCACTAAGTCATCTAAAAGTCTGCTGAATCATGCAACCAGATTTGGAAAGCCATGTCAAGATACTTTCTAGCTCAGCTTCTGATCTCTAAATTGCATTCCAATTTATATGACCATCCATTATTTCTAAATATATCTAGTGAAAGAGATCCCAAACTTGGTATTGATAGGCTTTCCAAATTTTGAGGAACTTTGATTAGGTCAAATATTATTTCCAGTCTACATCGTCCTTCTTTAATTTTCCCACCTAAGGGAAGATAAAGACTAACAAGACCCTTGTAGTAACTTTTATCTGTTCGAGATCAAGTTGTCCAACATCCTCTTCTTCATGACAAGTAACTCTTTTCACCCCTTTTCCAAAATATACAAGCATTTTGTCAACATACTTTTCTTTTAAAAATTTTTTTTGTTATTGATTTCAGAGATTAAGGGAGAGGGAGAGAGAGTAGAAACATCAATGATGAGAGAGAATTATTGATGGACTGCCTCCTGCACACCCCACCTGGGCGATCAAGCCCGCAACCAGGGCATGTGCCCTGACTGGGAATTAAACTGTGACCTCCTGATTCACAGGTTGATGCTCAACCACTAAACCATGCCGGCTGGGCAAAACATACTTTTTAAAAAAGCATATTTTTGCTGAAAGTTTCAGAAAATAAAAAATAAAAATCTCTCTAAGCCTTACTGAGTTTCTCTATCTATAAAACAGGGAGAAGTAATAAGTACAAAGTATTTGGCTAACTTACCCACATGTTAGCCAGCCATCCGCTTCAGTAGGAAGTACAAGCAAGTAAGCGAATTGTGCCACGCCTCACTCAGTTTCTTCATCTATAAAATGAGACACTATATACCTGGCTAGTGCTACCTACAGGGTTGCCTAAGAAGATAATAGATGTGAAAGTACGTTTAAACTTTAACATTTAAAGGATCATTCTTATAATTACTTGCTTCATAAGATCTTTCTTATTCTGTGTCAGGTGCAGAGCAAGCATATTAAGATTACCCCATTTATTTCTCATAACAATCCTAGAATATGGGTACTCTTATCAACATGATTTTATGTGAAACAATGCCTGGCATGTTTTAGGCATATACATATGGAGGAGGGAATTGGAGCTAGGAGAGGCTAGTGACTCCTCCAAGTAAACATAGATAATTAGGGATGGAAGTAGAAATCAAACCAGATCCCCACTCATCTGTGAATAAAACAGTTATATAACCAGAAACTTTAGTTATCTGAAACTCCTTGTTTCAGATGCATTACGGTTAAATAAGCATTTATGACACCTTTGTCCTTTCTTTGCTGAGCACATTCCTCCAACCTTTTCTCTGATTGGTCCCTTGCGCTTGACTATGGTTTATGGGTCTCCCTTGGTAACTTTGAGCCAATAATTGCCTGAATCATTCATGTCCCTTGATCAGTACTTTTCTTCTTAAAACTTGTATCAAACAAGACATGTCTCCCTTGTTGGCTTATATGACACAGTTACTTCCCACACCATTCAATTTATCATTCTTTCATTTTAAAAAATGTATCTTTGTTGTTGAAAGTTTCATGGATGTCCCCATTTCCCCCTCATTGACTTCCTCCACCCTGCACCCTCCCCAGGCCTTCACCACACTATTGTCTGGGTCCATGGATTATGCATATATGCATTTAAAGTCTTTGGTTAATCTCTCCCTCCCCCCTCACCCCCTTCCCTCTGAAATTCCTCAGTCTGTCCCATACTTCTGTGTCTCTGGATCTATTTTATTCATCAGTTTATTTTGTTCATTAGATTCCACATATAAGTGAGATCATGGGATACTTATCTCCCTCTGAAGACATTTTCATTTTATTGCTCTATTTCTCTAATCCTGTGTGTCTAACTTTAATTCATTCTTGTTTATATGAATGCTAAGTGTTTGAATATGAGACAGGTGTTATAGAATGGAAAGACCACCATGACAGAGATTGGAACTACTAATTCCTTGTCCCAACTCTGTCACTAATAAACTGTGTGACTCTAAACAAGTCACTTAGCTTTTCTGAGCCTCTGAGGTTTTGAGTCCTTTCTTTCTATAGGTCTGCCTTATCTCTTCAAGGAAGGAAGGAAAGGAGAGAGGGAGCCAGTGTCACCCCAGTAAATTCACTTAAAAGGAAAAAAGGATTACCTTCAAAGGAATAAACACTAGACTGCTTTTAAATTTTAAAAAAAGGAAGACGAAGAGGGAGGGACCATCTTTTCTAATTTATTTTTCTTTTCACACGGAGCCTATTTCATAAAGCTACCTCTAGTGCTCACTCAGTAAATGCTGACACGTCCATCATTGGATAATTTGACTTTCCTTCTATCACAGATGGTGTATGAGCCACACATAACTGATTACAGCTGACCTTTGTTTTGGTAAAGACTAAAATAGTACTAAATGTGTGTCTTTCCAGTGGCATTATCCTTGCCCATGAAACTGCATGTCCTATTCCTTAGGCCTCCACATTTGCCATTAAAATCAAACATTATTTCCTCATGTCGCTTTTATCTGACAGGTTCTTTTTAATTTTGATTATAGCATTTCTAATTTGGGGGTATATCATATTATTTACTCATATCCCTGATGACCTGGTCTATTAATTTCTTTCTTTAGAATTTTTATTTGCAATTAGCTTTCTGGTTTGGTTCATGTTGGTTTACAGTTTTACATTTTTTTTTTTAGAAGATACTTGGTCTCACAATCACAACCATAAGCACCTTTATTTGTTTTTTTTTTTTTAAGTAGCTCTTAAAACATGTGGCACACTATAACATATAAAATTGCTATATTCACCCAGTTAATCCACACTTAAATGCACTAACTTTAAATAAACATACAATAAAGAGAACATAAAAAGTATGGACTGATAGG